ATGGCCTCAGTGCCGTAAGTTAATCTGAAAGGCGTTTCTGTGGTACTGGATTGGGCGATTGTCCTGTAGCCCCAAAGGACATTGTCCAAATTTTGCACCCACGCCTCCTTATATGATTCTAATTTCTTCTTAATTCCTCGGGCCAACCTTTTATTGGCTGACTCTACCAGTCAGTTGGACTAGGGGTGTTCTACTGCAGCGAAATGGGGTCAGATCTGCAAATTCTCCATTAATTCTCGAAACTTGGCGTCCGTGAATTGGGTGCCGTTGTCTGTTATGACTTCTCCTAGGATGCCGAAACCGTAGATGATATTTCTCCAAAAGAACTTCCTCACATTTTGGGAGGTAATGGTAGCAACAGGTTCAGCTTCCACCCATTTGGTGAATTAATCAATGGCGACAATCAGCCATTGGACACGGCCAGCCGCCATGGTAAAAGGGCCTAGTATGTCCATTCCCCACTTATAAAAAGGTCAAGAGGATGTTATTGACGTCAATTCTTCTGGTGGGGCTTTATCTACGTCAGCAAACCTTTGTCACTTTTCGTATTTTTTGACATGCTTTGGGCGTCTCGCTCCAAGGTTGGCCAATAAAAACCAGCCCTGAGTGCTTTCCTTGCCAGTGTGTGCCTGCCCATGTGATGGCCATTAATCCCTTCATGGATTTCTTCTAGGAAGCACTCCACGCCATTGGGGTTTAGGCATTTTAGAAATGGGGTTGAACATCCTCTTTTGTACAAACGCCCTTGTATCATGCAGAAATGAGCGCTTCTTCGCACTACCTTCTTGGTTTCCTTCTGATCAAGTGGAAGGGTTCCTTCAGATAAGTAATTGACGATGGGTGTGATCTAAGTCTCTTTGGCGACTTCAGCTGTTGCGTCTGAAATACTCATGACGATGCATGGGTTAGGCAAATTATTATGTATGACGGAGCGATTATTACCTGGATTCTTTGTGCTTATTAATTTGGCGGAACTGTCTGCCTGGGTATTTTCTGACCGCCTAATGTGATCCACTTCTACCGCCTTGAAGGTCTGCATTATCTCTTTCACTTTTTCCAAGTACTTGCACATTAGTGGGCCTTTGTCTTGATACTCTCCAGATATTTGAAAGGTCACTAACTGAGAATCGCTGAAGACTTTGAGGCGCTGGGCTCCCATCAAATAGCAGCCTGAATATAAGGTTGTGGACCCCTCCTAGAAGAATCCATAAACGTCCTGTAAACCTCAGATATATGAGATTTTAAGAACTGTGTGGAATGGACCTGACAATCTGTTTCCCATCAAAGAGCTGCATATTCAATAAACGATACTCTTTAGTGTCACTATTAAGTTGTTTACTAACTTTACTTATAGAGAAGAAATTTAAGAGGCAATTGTAGAGAAACAAAGGGTGCATAGCAGAAAGATTTTACATCTCAACCAAGGGCATGGTAGCCCATTGTTCATGTGTAGAACCAGTGATGATGTTACGACTAAGGTCCCTGTTTGAAATAGCAAGACAAAGTTAGTGGTCTTCGTCTTCAACATTCCATATGAATGTATGGATGTTATGGAAACATCATGCAGAACAGATCAAAGTATCAAAGGATCATAGATTTAAAGATGAGGTTTGGTTATCTTACAATAGTTTAAGATAACCAAGCTTGGAAAACTCTTGTGAGAGAGTACCAGACAGATTCTGAGCCTTTAAGGATCTGTTCATATAGAATATGAAATTAAAAACAAAAAATTAGAATTAACATGATTACTACAAGATATTCAACCAATAAAAAAAATAGAATAAGAAACAAAATCTTACTAATGCCAAATCTTATACTCATGTGCACAAAATTAGGAAGTCCTCACAAACAATTTTTTTTTTTTGGTAAGGTCTCACAAACAAATTTAAATCTAATTTTTTTTATCAAAGTATAATTTATATTTAATTTAATTCAATTACTTTTTTAATGTTGAAATCCAAAGATATTTTGTTCATATAAAAACAAATTATGTTATCTACCAAAAATAAAATTGTGATTAGTAAAAGTACTTTGAAGCATAATGCACATAGTAAAAAAAGATTTGACTCAAAATGCACGTGAAGAATAATAAACCCAAAATTGAAGAAAATCCTTACTGAACGTGATTCCATGTGATTTTTCTGAGTTGTTGAAAACAAGAGATGGATTGGAAATAGAAAGAGGAATGGGAAGTGAACAATACATGCTGACAACATGGCAAGAAGAATTGTGATTGAAGGAACAATAACACACCACATAGTTCTCAAAGCCTTTCCTATTATTATCAGACGCATTAAAGTTCCCTTTTCCACTGTAAGGGTCCACCCTAAAGGCCCAATCTCTCTTCCCATAATTAATTCATACAGCATGATACCATAATTAATTCGATAGAAGAATATGTTGAAAAGGTAAAGTGTATTATTATTACTGTAGCATATATGCAAGAGAGTCACAACTACAAAAACTAAAAGACGGACTAAAAGAACAGAACTACAAGTTACATCTCACCAAATTAGTTAAAGGCTAACTAACTAGTTACTTGCTACTAACCCAAGTATCATAAAATATAGCAATATGTCCATATATACGAACTCATTGTCCATTCTCATCTGACTCACTGAATCTGATTAAATAACCTCTCTCTCCTATTCTGCTTGAACAACCACAGAGTTCCACACTACAACTAGTTAATTCTCCTTGGTTCCACTTCATTCATTTTCCTCTCACACTCGGCTTCTGCAGCCACGCCTAAGCTCAACCCTAAAGAGGGTAATAGACATTCCTTCACTTGTACTAGTTTAAATTTTTTTTTTTTTTTTATGGGAAAACTTCAAAAAATCCCCTATGAATTTTTTTAATTATCACTTATCCCCCTCACAATTTTTTTGAATATTTATACCCTTATTTAGATTTTTTTTATCACTTATCCCCCTGACTTAAAGTTTTTTTTATCATTTATCCCCCTAAGTGAGGGGTGTAAAAGATAAAAAAACTTTAAATCAGGGAGGTAAATGATTCAAAATTTTGGGGAGGGGGTAAATGATTATAAGGAAAGTTATAGGATTTTTTTTTGAAGTTTTCCCTTTTTTTATTTTGTGCTTGGACCAGATTTGTTTATGAAAATATCATCTGTTCATTCTTATATCAGTTCATAAGATTAGTTTAGCATTCTTACTAAGTATATTGGAAAATACAACTACAATTTGGTTTTTTTTTTTTATCTCTGGACTTGGAAGACAATCACAGATTGATTGTTTCTTCATAGCTTCTATTAACTATCTCTTATACATACTTGTTGATATTAATTCACGAGTAAATACTTTTTTTGTCCTTAACAAAAAATACGGTCCCCACTTTAGTCCTTTACAAAAAAAATTAGTCAGTTGGTCCCTATCAAATTCAAAGTGGACCCATTTAGTTGAAATCGTGGTCCCTCACAATTTCAAAAAAGACCCATATTAGTCCCTCAAAAGGACTAAAATGGGTCCACTTTGAATTTGTTAGGGACCAATTGATTAATTTTTTTTGTAAGGGACTAAAGTGGGGATCGTGTTTTTTGTTAGGGACCCAAAATGGTATTTACTCCTAATTCATTTAGATGTTTCTTTTTTCTTCCTCTGATTGATAAATTTATTTGATTTGTGTTGTCCACTGAAGGCATTGAAAGAGATAGGGACGAAAATTGGGAAGAGAGATTGGGACTTTGCGGTGGACCCTTACAGTGGAAAAGGGAACTTTAATGCGTCTGATAATAATAGGAAATGCTTTGAGAACTATCTGATGTGTTATTGTTCCTTCAATCACAATTCTTCTTGCCATGTTGTCAGCATGTATTGTTCACTTCCCATTCCTCTTTCTATTTCCAATCCATCTCTTGTTTTCAACAACTCAGAAAAATCACATGGAATCACGTTCAGTAACAGGATTTTCTTCAATTTTGGGTTTATTATTCTTCACGTGCATTTTGAATCAAATCTTTTTTTACTACGTGCATTATGCTTCAAAGTACTTTTACTAATCACAATTTTATTTTTGGTAGATAACATAATTTGTTTTCATATGAACAACATATCTTTGGATTTCAACATTAAAAAAGTAATTGAATTAAATTAAATATAAATTATACTTTGATAACTTTTTTTAGATTTAAATTTTGTTTGTGAGACCTTACTAAACAAAAAATTGTTTGTGAGGACTTCCTAATTTTGTGCACAGGAGTATAAGATTTGGCATTAGTAAGATTTTGTTTCTTATTCTATTTTATTTATTGGTTGAATATCTTGTAGTAATCATGTTAATTCTAATTTTTTGTTTTTAATTTCATATTCTATATGAACAAATCCTTAAAGGCTCAGAATCTGTCTGGTACTCTCTCACCAGAGTTTTCCAAGCTTGGTTATCTTAAACTATTGTAAGATAACCAAACCTCATCTTTAAATCTATGATCCTTTGATACTTTGATATGTTCTGCATGATGTTCCCATAGCATCCATATATTCATATGGAATGTTGAAGAAGAAGACCACTAACTTTGTCTTGCTATTTCAAACAGGGACCGTAGTCGTAACATCATCACTGGTTCTATACCTCAACAATGGGCTACCATGCGCTTGGTTGAGATGTAAAATCTTTCTGCTATGCACCCTTTGTTTCTCTACATTGCCTCTTAAATTTCTTCTCTATAAGTAAAGTTAGTAAACAACTTAATAGTGACACTAAAGAGTATCGTCTATTGAATATGCAACAGCTCTTTGATGGGAAACAGATTGTCATGGCCATTCCACACAGTTCTTAAAATCTCATATATCTGAGGTTTACAGGACGTTTATGGATTCTTCTAGGAGGGGTCAACAACCTTCTTATCTTCAGGCTGCTAGTAGATGGGAGCCCAGTGCCTCAAAGTCTTCAGCGATTCTCAGTTAGTGACCTTTCAAATATCTGGAGAGTATCAAGCCAAAGGCCCACTAATGTGCTAGTACTTGGAAAAAGTGAAAGAGATAATGCAGACCTTGGAGGCGGTAGAAGTGGATCATATTAGGCGATCAGAAAATACCCGGGCAAACATTCCCGCCAAATTAGCAAGCACGAAGAATCCAGGTAACAATCGCTCTGTCATTCAACATAATTTGCCTAACCCATGCATCGTCATGAGTATTGCAGACGCAACAGCTGAAGTTGCCGAAGAGACTTGGATCACACCCATCGTCAATTACTTATCTGAAGGAACCCTTCCACTTGATCAAAAGGAAGCCAAGAAGGTGGTGCGAAGAAGCGCTCATTTCTGCATGATACAAGGGCGTTTGTACAAAAGAGGATGTTCAACCCCACTTCTAAAATGCCTAAACCCCAATGGCGTGGAGCACTTCCTAGAAGAAATCCATGATGGGATTAATGGCCATCACATGGGCGGGCACACACTGGCAAGGAAAGCACTCAGGGCTGGTTTTTATTGGCCAACCTTGGAGCGAGACGCCTAGAGCATGTCAAAAAATACGAAAAGTGACAAAGGTTTGCTGACGTACATAAAGCCCCACCAGAAGAATTGTCGTCAATAACATCCTCTTGAGCTTTTTATAAGTGGGGAATATACTAGGCCCTTTCCCTATGGCGGCTGGCTGTGTCCAATGGCTGATTGTCGCCATTGATTACTTCACCAAAATGGGTGGAAGCTGAACCTGTTGCTACCATTACCTCCCAAAAGGTGAGGAAGTTCTTTTGGAGAAATATCATATACCATTTCGGCATCCCAAGAGAAGTCATAACAGACAACAACACCCAATTCTCGGACGCCAAGTTTCGAGAATTAATGGATAATTTGCAGATCCGACCCCATTTCGTGGCAGTAGAACACCCCCAATCCAACGGACTAGTAGAGTGAGCCAATAAAATGTTGGCCCGAGGAATTAAGAAGAAATTAGAATCACATAAGGAGGTGTGGGTGCAAAATTTGGAGAATGTCCTTTGGGGCTACAGGACAATCGCCCAATCCAGTACCAGAGAAACGCCTTTCAGATTAACTTACGGCACTGAGGCCATGTATCCTGGGAAGGACCTTACCGACTCGCCAACAAGCTGGGAGGATGAGCTTATTCCTTTGAGACACTGGAGGGAAAAGCAATTCCTAGGGCGTGGAATGCTGACAAACTCAAAAGATATTACAGCTGAACCATCGTGTAACACATAACTGCACTCTTTCCTTTTTCCAAGTTTTTGTCCCAATGAGTTTTGCTTGGAGAGGTTTTTAACGAGACATGATATCTTCTTTAGTCAATAAACACTTGTGTCAATTCTCCACTACTAGGAATTCAATTTTACTTACTTTTTTCTGTTACCATAAACTTCTTACGGGATGGTTATCATCCCCGCCAAGAGTTGGACTGAGATGGTTCTCACCCTCAGCCAACATACAAGTTACGGGATGATCATCACCCTGCCATGAGTTGGACTGGGACGGTTCTCACCCCCAACCACCATACAAGTCACGGGATAGTCCTCACCCCTGCCAAATGTTGGACTGGGACGGTTCTCACCCCCAGCCAACATACAAGTTACGGGATGGTTCTCACCCCCGCCAAGCGTTGGACTGGGACGGTTCTCATCCCCAGCCAACATAAAAGTTACGGGATGGTCCTCACCCACGCCAAGAGTTGGACTGGGACGGTTCTCACCCCCAGTCAACATACAAGCCACGGGATGGTTCTCACCCCCGCCAAGCTTTGGACTGTGACAGTTCTCACCCCCAGCCAACATACAAGCCACGAGATGGATCTCACCCCCGCCAAGAGTTGGACTGGGACGGTTCTCACCCCCGACCAATATACAAGTCAATCGTTGAAGTAAGATATATAAGGTCACCATTGATTAATTTTTTGAAGGAAAACTTAAGAGTGAAATTTAAAGTAAACTTCATTGATGCAAAAGGGAAGTACAAGATCATGGTCGACATACCAACCATGGAAAAAAGGAAAAAGCTAGAAGTAAACTAAACTAAACTTGGTGATCTCCCTAAGGGTCGCCTCCTCTTCAGCTAAAGAAGCTTATTCAATTGTGCCGACAACGGCAGTATCCCCGCCACCACCTTCCGTTCCTTGGCCGAATAAAGTGACGCTAGCAAGCTCCACTGACAAATCTTGCCCGGTAGCATCGCCAACTGTATGGTCCTCCCTTATGTCATCATCCTTCTCCTCAGTATCGGGACCTTCCTCGATCACTACCTTCTCCTCGTCTGAAATCCGATGAAGCAGTCGGTTACCCTCCACTATATATTCAGGGCTAAGATCGGTAATGTCCACCTCAGGATGACGAAGCAAAACTTGTTGAAGAGCATTGTTGAAGGACTCATAAAAAACCTGGGCCAAGGTAGTCTCCAACTCCTGCACCCGCCCAGATGATCGCTCCAAGTCCCCTTTGGCGGTCTGCAAGTTCCCTTGCATATTGGCCAACTCGACTGCCAACCTGTCTTTTGCTAGCTGGAGGTTATTCTTTTCTGCCATGAGCTCATCCAAAGATTTATACAAGGTGTCTTTCTCCTGAGTCAGGCGTTTAACCTCCTCACTGTCCTTCTTCAGTAACTCATTGCTATCATGCAAAGATTTGTTGGCAATCTGCAAGTTACGAACTTCTTTCCTAAGGCGACTAACCTCGGTGGTCAGATCATCCATCTTGCGCCCCATTTCACCTAGGTTATTGCCCTACGTTGAACAACGAAGATTGGCAGCAAGAACCGCCTCTTGAAGCGCCAAAGCACGACCAATAATTACTTGCGTGCATTCCATAATCTCTTGGTGGTTAATTCACTCTGCCACCACCACGTTCAGCCCTGGCTTGGGGAAACTCGAATTGAGATCCCTTTCTGACAGCTTCAACGCCCTAGTCAAAGGGATTGCAGCGGATGGAGGAATTTCTCGAGCGTCTGCTGTCACAATAGCCCTCTCCTCTTCTAGGGTACGCATCACCATCACCCCACTGTCGCCAAAGTCATCAGAGAAACTGTCTATAGCATAACAGTGTTTGCCCGTTGACTGCCCGAACTCAGTTGGCTCAGTCCTCACCGCCTTTGCACCCCTTGGCGGGACCGAGGTTTCATCAGTAGGTCTTTTTTGCCCAAAACATACGCGTCCAGGCGAGACAGATCCAGAAGCTGACTTGCCAGCCGACGAACGCCCCGCCTTGTTCGACACCTCCTTAATTATGGACCCAGTAGCCTCCTCGCCAACTCCTCGGCGGGAATATCTGTCGCAGGTCGAATTTTCTTCTTTGGATGGTGAGGAGCTTTCTTTTTCCCCTTATCAGCATCCTTACTCTTTGTGGCAGGAGCAGGCACAACTGACAGAAACCCGCCGCCTGCGGCTCTAACCTTGGCAGCTGCCTCACGTTCAACCTTCAATGCATCCATCGACAATCTTTCAACTGCAAATTGAGAAAGATACATAAATGTTAGCAAAAGACAGAAGACAAATACTCATAAAAATGCCGTCGTAAACGTTACAAGTCACCGCCACACCTCCTTAACAAAACACCTTCTTTGTGGACCATCGCCCCAAAGGCTCCTTAAGCTCTTCAAACCATTATACCACCCACATTTCCTCCTGAGACAAAGTTTCATACCCAAACGAATAGCGACTGGCGAGAAACTCATAATGTGCCTTTGACCAGTATAGCTCAATCCGACTCACCCCACTTTCCCGATCAACAAAGAAAGGTACATCTCCCTCATAAATCACAGGCTGCACCCAAAAGAAAGTTTCTCGTCATTTCTTGTATAAGTCAGCATAAGTTGTAAATATCGCCCCTACCCTAGCTTTGTCCCTCCTTTAACGAAACCCAACCCAATCTCTTTAAGGATGAAGACACTTGGAAACAATATTAAAATAACCTTATGGAACACACCCATTCAAAATATCGGCATATTTTCTCAAACACCCGAACAAACGCCCAAGCATTAAGGTGTAGTTGAGAAGGCGTAACTTGCAGATGGGCTAACACTCCCATTTCAAATTCAGAGAAAGGGAACCTAACTTTCTGGTCGGTAAAATGGGTCTTATATACAAAGAATCGCCATTGAGCAACCGCCTTATGGCGTGGCCATTCACAATCTAGTTCAACCTCTCTAACCGACCAACATTGCCATTTGTTGTCATTAGCGACACCCTCAGTAAAATCAAAGTTACCTTCAGACCAACAATCCTCGCCTAAAGCAGTTCTGTCTGTATAAAAAGAAGAAGTAGTCGCCACATCTACGTCTACCGAGTTCCTTCGCAAAAAAACATTTGTGAGTTTGAACAACCACCATGTGTAGCTAAGAAATTATCCACCAACAAAACCTGGGAGGAGTGACAAACAAGCAGTCAAACGCCCAATATTTCAACCGACATCAAGAGAAGTTGATAAACCTTTAGTTTATCTTATTTTATAGACTAAATTAATATAAAATATCAAGTTAAATAAGTTAAAAACTAGGTTTTAATATAATAATCATGAACATTATCTGAATTTTGTTTAATTGAATTATCTTTGCTAATTTTAAAGGAGTTGTTGACAAAGAGATTCAAATATGAAGATTTGGATAAAGAGAGATCAAATCAGAAAAGAAGATGAATCAAGGTGAAAACAAGAAGATTGAAGATCTTATCAAGTTGTTAGCAGAGGGAGCTTAAGCCCCCATTTCGAAGCTTAAGCTTCCTAAAAATACAAATAGCTACTGCCTCTGGGCGCTTAAGCCGCCCCTCTGCTAACAACTTGATAAGATCTTCAATCTTCTTGTTTTCACCTTGATTCATCTTCTTTTCTGATTTGATCTCTCTTTATCCAAATCTTCATATTTGAATCTCTTTGTCAACAACTCCTTTAAAATTAGCAAAGATAATTTACTTAAACAAAAGTCAGATAATGTTCATGATTATGATATCAAACCCTAGTTTTTAACTTATTTAACTTGATATTTTATATTAATTTAGTCTATAAAATAAGATAAACTAAAGGTTTATCAAACAATTCCCAGATTTGAACATTGCTGTCCTCAGCAATTAAACAGAATAAAACTATGGGAAAGTTTGGAGACGGCTAGTCATGCTTAATGAATAACAGACAAGAAACTGACCAATAGTGAGAATTCAGAGCATTCAGATTTGATAAAAAATTAATGACACATCAAACTCAAGCAAACATTCACAACTCACTATTCATAGAATCATAACATGAGTCAAAATAAAGAGTAGTATAATTCAAACCCACAACACCCTCTCACTAGGATTTTCATTTATTCCTTCATACTCAAATGTCTGAGGGTATGTGTTTCACTCTTACTTGACTGCATTAACACTACTATAGGCTTGTTTATATTTTCACTCTCCACAGTCTTACTAGTATACAAAGTCAATCAAGAGGTCTTTGTTAAGGTTGTAACGTGGCTTAGGTAAAAGGAAAGGGATCATCTGGGTAAGTGGCTTAAGATAACTGATCAAAATTCAACTTCAAA